TTAAGATGAAAAATACCCAAATATAAAAAGAACATTAAATCGGCTCATTTCAGATCTGGAAGTTCCATTTCTGCTTCAGCCGCAGCCTCCTTTCTATTAAGTCTATGTGATGGACAAGATTTGGCTATTAGTTCAGCCCCTCCATATTAGCTCCACTAATACTAAATGAATGCCATAAATATTAATACAAAGGACACTGTTACTGTTTTAAATCTGTTAGTTGTGGAAGAGATGTGCATTAATGAAATTGGCGATAAACTCAGGGCAGTCCACTTTTTTACAATAAGGTTTCACTTTTCTCGGTCTGGGGACTAACTGTGGGGAGGAGCCAGCCTCTCCTGAAATCCCTCCTCCTAATTCCTTACGTAGCCAACATGATCTGATTAAACTCAATCAGACGAGCAAAAGCCACTTGAAGAAAGATGAGGATCTTTGCCACATCCTTGTGGCCACAGTAATATACTGTACGAGTGCACATGATCAGTTTCTCTGTGACCGTGCCCTGAGTGAGTCCTGGTCTTGAGTCTCATATAAAAATGGACCACTGTTAGGCATGAGGGCTGTCCTCCTCTGCTTCTAGGGCCCGCTAGGATTTGTGCTATGGTAGGAGAGATGACATAGAAAATGACAACAAAAAAAGGCACAAAATATTCAAAACGTGGGAGGAGTCCACCAGGCCACCCGGTCACATAATCCTCCTTGTTTTTGCTCCGTTCAAGAGTCATCATCATGCAAAGGTGCCTAAAAAACAAGAGTGGCCAAACGCCAAGCCTGGCCTTGATTGTAGCAATAATGAATGGGCAAACCCATCATCACACCAGTGTGATTTCCACATCCTCAATCTTCTCTGCTGGCCTTCGGTGGTTCTGTGTAGGTGGAGGGGGAGCTGCCCGGACCTGAGCAAGGAACAAATACATGGATTGTTAGCTCCCTGATTCAGTGCTTGAAGCATCCAAACCCCAACCAGTCATTTATCCACAGACATGGGTACCCCAGGGGTCTCACAAATGCTCTTAACGTGAAAGCGTGTGCTTCCAACGTAATTCTCACTATTTCCCACACCAAGGAGTTAACTGTTCTGATGAAATGTGGAACCCACAAATCAGGGTCTTGCCTAGGCTGAAAGCTTCATGGGCACAAGAGTCACATTAGCTCCAAAAGGCTCATCCAAAGCAAAGGCCTGGAGGTGGAACCCAGAGAGAGCAATGCTTGGGGAACTGAAAACCTTTGGCCGGTCTTGGAAGGAACGCTGCAAGAGATAAGAATGGAGATGTAGCTTGGGGTGAAGTCATGAAGAGCCTCATTAAGCCACGCTAAGGAAATCTGAGCTTTACTCTGTAGGCAAAGAGGAGTCTTTGGTGGAATTTTAAACAGCAGGAGCAGATATGTGAAAGGATGACTAGGATAATAGTTTGGAAAAAGAGTGGAGGGCAAGAGTGGGCAATAGTGTAGGTAAGAAGACAATTTAGGAGGCTCTTGTAGTCATGTGAATGAGAGTTGATGTCAGCCTGACCTAGGAATTGGTGGGGGGGGGGGCATGGGAGGAGAGAAGTGGGAGTATTTGATAGAAGTCTCCAAGGTACATGTGGCAGGAATTGGTGATGACTTTGTGGGAGGTAGGGCTAGAAAGCTATCAAGAGTGAGGTCAGAGCAGTGGTAGAATGGGGGTTCCACTCACCAAGCAAGGCAATATGGAAGGAGTGTGTCTGGCAAGGTGGATAATTAACTCGTTGCTGAGTTTTGGGGCTTTGGTACATATACAGTGAAATGTCCACAAGGCTGAAGCTCAGGGAAGAGACTGGATTGGCAATTATGAGACTAGGGGTTGTCAGTAAATAAATGGTTATCAAAACCATGGGAGTAGATAAGATTGTACGGGGAGAATGAGAGTGAATTTAATGACTTCAGGAGAAGCAACCCATGGACAGAACCCTGAGAAGCATCAGCAGAGATGGGCTGAAGCAGAGAAGCCCATACAGGTCAATGAAAAGGAAGGGCCAGAAAGTAGAGAGCAAACCAGGAAAGGGCAGTGGAACAAACTGGCTCACTTCTCATTCTCACTCTTATCCACCAGTCTATGTCACCATCTTGCTTGAACCACTGCTCCAGTCTCCTAATGGCTCCCATGTCCCTTCTGCCACCTTCCATTCACTCTCACTTAGAAGCCACAGCAATGTTTCAAAATGGAAAACCAGTCACATCACTGTCCTACTTACAACTCTGCAATGGCTAAGAACCAAGTCCTTAACAAGGCACTCAGTACACATCTGCTGAATTAGCCAAAGGAAGTAAGTGGTTCAAGGAATGGTGTCAAATGCTGATAAGCAAGTCAAGGAAAATAAATGTACTGGATGAGTGTGGGAAAGTTATGACCTTGGAAGGGCTGTTTCACAGTGAGGTGGTGGGGTAGAGTGAGGGATGAGTAGAGGTGATTATTCGTAAGAGATTCTCCTTGAGAATAGAAGCTCTTAAACTTCAAAAGGACATGAAGTATATCTCATTTCATCTCTGTGTTCCTCATAGAGAGAAATATAAGCTTGCAAAATAATTTATCAATAAATGTTTGCTGGGAAAAAACTGCTTGTTTCACACTTAGACCACTTTAATGCTTGCTATAATTTAAATACACCTTTCATAGCTATCTCACCATAGCTCAGTAAAAAAAAAACCTACCAGTCTAGACTAGACCTTCCAAGATGTGTTGAGTTTTTAAAAAATATTTATCTTGAGAGAGAGAAAGAGAGAGCACTCGAGCAGGGGAAGAGGCAGAAAGAGAGGGGGAGAGAATGCCAAGTAGGCTCCGCGTGATGCTTAACTGACGGAGCCGCCCAGGTGCCCCTGCGTGTATTTTTACAGACTTCATTTTCAAGAGCTCTTTTTATCTTCCCAAACTCATATGATCCTTGCGTGGGGGAATCAGCATAACACAGAGGCCACAGGGAAACATTAACTGCTAACTTTCAATTTGGAAGAACTGAATTCTATAACAGGTAAGATAAGAGACTTACGGGTCGCAGTTTGCCATATGAGGTCTCAGGAGTATGCCTTGGTGCCTGTGAGCATCCCAGCGATTCGGTATGGAAGCTGTTTTCTAAGGGAGGGAATCAAGAAGCTCATTTTATTTGTGTTGTTGGGCAATAAAAATGCTAATAACAAATCTGTTTGCTCTTCAGGTAAACATGTGGATTTCTGAATAAAAATGTATTTAGATCCATGCCCAGGAAAACCCTTACCATTTGCTGAGGGAGAGCGTGGGAAGTACTGGGAGCTCCTCTTATCGGGGCTGGGGTAAGGGCTGCTGGGAGGCTGGTCATACAGCGGCAGTGGAGGCAGGGAGCCTGGTGGCTTGGGGGAAGGAGAGATCTGCCACAAAGGAAAGAGGTTACAAAGTGCTCACCTCAGGAAGCTTGAGAGGCAAGTTGGCTTCCCTAATTCAGACATGTTACTTTTCTCTGCAGCTAAGTTATGACTATCAACAATTTTGGTCAGCCTCATCAGAAGCACATGAACTTAGAATAACCACCACAAATCCCAATTTTGTGATGCATTTAACTTTTTCTCCTCAGAGAGCTCATTATACTACTGATTTTAGTCAAACCATTCTCTAGAGTTCTACTGAAAACACACTAAATCAGTCAATGAAATAAATCTAGTGAAGAAAAAAAAGGGGACAAATTCTATTTTTTTGTGTTAAGAAAATAATTGGCTGTTTTCGACTTCCCCAAATTTTGTAAATGTCAAACTAAGTGTTCACAATACCACACACACAAGATGGGGAGACATGTTCCTTATGGTCCTGGGCCTGCCACACCTGCTATGACAGATCTGAATTAGGGTTTCCCGTAAAGGCAAGTTTTGCTATGATCAGCTGAGCCTAGAGCCATATGAGTATAATGGGGCTCTGCCATTAGTCCTCTGAAATGGACTGGCAGGCAGGCTCTGACAGTGGTGGACAGAAGGCAGTATTTTTACTATATAAACTAACTGCAGAGACAATAAATTCCCTCTCTGGTTTCTTTCTCTCTACCAAACCACTTTTTTGTATGTCACATACAACTTATCATTTTGGTTAACTGATTCAGAGAAAAGAAAGTGGGCAAATGGAGGTGTTATATGGCCATTACCCAAGAGCCAGGTTGATGAGTCTCTGCTTTTCCAAACCCAATTTTTTGCATAAACGTGGCAACCGAGGACTGGAGTGGGGAGGTGGGGCTGAGATTGCAGCCTGTGTTTGCATGGGTCAGCCACCTCTTGGGAGTCATTTTCTTTAACCACCTTTTAATTCAGCTTCCTCCCCTCTCATGTACCTGAATCTCTCTCATCCACGGAGTGTCACCATTTTCTGAGGCTGAAAGTTCTTCCACTAGCACCGATGGGAAGACTCCAATCCGCCCACTGAATTCCCCTTCCCAGAAGCCATCGTCATCCTGGTTTTCTTTGTTCAGGATTCGGATGATTGCCCCCTCAGGAAAGGATAACTCATCATCTGTTTGGCCCTCATAGTCATAAAGTGCTTTCACGAAACAGACTAGGTAGGAAGAGGGAGAAAATGCAGTAAGAACACGGACAGCCAGGTTCCTTTTGCAACCACCCCTATGCTCACGTGGCAACTAAAAGAGGATCATACAGAGTAAGAGTAATTTTTTTTACTCACTGAAGATCAACTTCAGGGTTCTACCCTACAGGATAAATGTGACCAAATTATGGAAAATATATCATAGAATAGGAATAAAGATATGCTTTTTAACCTACGGAAGGCTGACTCCAGGGCAATACCGTTTAGGCCAAAATGTGACCAAATAAAGAGTGCCTTGTTTCAGTCTTTACCACTGGCATCTCCGTTGAGGCTGCCTGAAACGAGCTCGGCCTCCGTGGAATTGCTGGATGTGTGTGACCGACTGTCCAAAGCAGCCAAGGACTGCAGCATGCTCAGTAGACTGTTCGAGGTGGGAAACTGTAGGTACTTTTCTGGCACATAACCCACTTGGCCAACTTTATTTCGAGCCTGAGTAAAAGACATGTGACAAAATAGGTTTGCACACACAATCTGGACAGGGCAAAACAAGAACCAAAACAAACTCCTAAAATGTCACAAGAAGGGGCGATATGAGCAAAGGAATATACCTTTACCCAGTCTTCCATATCTCCATCTTCAATCACTTCTAACACCTCATGTTCCTCAATGGTCAACTCATCTGGTTGAGAAGCCTGCAATGTAGGATGGTCATGGACAAAATTAAAAAGGTTAGATAAAGAGCAGATGTGCGCTGATCATAACAAAAACTGGGGATCAAAATATTGAAATGATTTTGAAAAACATACCAAACATAAAAATTTAAGTGTTGTAAAACTATCGTAATGAGGTGAAGTTTTACTTTAAAAAATTAAACAAAATAAAGCCACAGCAAAAACTGGAGAAACGGAATCCTCAAGAGACAATCAGGTGCAGTGAACACAGCACTCTGCTGGAAGCAGGGGACCAGGGTTCCAGCTCCAGCTTGTTTCTATTGGTTATTCAACTTCTTGATGCCTCCATTTCTTCAAAATGACAATCCTGCCATTCTGGGGAGGATGAGGGAGTCAATGTGGGATGAATAAGCTGAGAACCATGATGATCTGTGAAGCACAGGCACAGGAGCAAGCGCTGAATTAGAACGGCACCGGAGGGCTACCATGGAAGCACAGGCCGTGAAAATGCAGAGAACTATGTACATGGATTGGATGACAGCTTGAGCAGCGCCTAGAACTGATCTGGAATCACTGTGCGATAAACAATGGCCAGGAGAATTAGAGTTGCAGGAAAGAAAATGGCTGAGATCGTCCACAATTTGGATTTATTATGCTCTAACTTAACTGTGGAGAATGGGCTGATCCACTTAGATGCTTTTGTACAGGATGCTAACTGTGATGGTTTTATGGTCTCTGACGCAGGAGTTCACTAGCGCTGGCCACCCAGATACTGCTCCCGAGACTGCAGAATCTGAGCGCAACCTCTAAGGGGCTCAGCAGAGAGGCTGGAGAGAAACTGTGTGGCTTTGTTTCCTAAAGAGACTTGCCGGTCACATGTAACAGGGCGGGGCCTGCTAGCATCTTCTGGTTCTCTGGTGAGCAGTCTTAAAAGCATTCCCGAAGTCCCAAGATTAGTAACAACTATATAACCAAACTGTTAAGACCCTACAGTTTTTCAAATCTCACAATCTCAATGTGTAAAGTATCTCCAGGTTACACAAGCAAAAAGTAAGGCAAGAAAATGGGTCACGTTACTAAGCCTCATTTCCCATTTTGTGTACATTATAATACTTTATTAAACCCAGATTCTGGATGTTGCCATAGCTGCTTGAGATGTTAAAATAGTATTGAAAATGGCTGACCAGTCACAGAAATACTCCAGGACCAGAATTTTAAGTAAATTACCTCTGATCTCAAAACATGAGGATAAAAGGCTCATTGATTCATGATAGCTTTTCCAGTGGGATTTCTTCACTAATCCAAAAACACACTATGCTTTGACTATGCCAGGAAAAGGCACCCATATAACAAAAACATTTTCCTTAATTCCACGGTAAGACTTAAAAAGTACAACACAACCTGACTTCAGTGTGTGTGAGAACCAAAGCAGGAAGGATAAGAACACCTTTAAGTATACCGCTGCCCTTGTAAAAAAGTCAGGGAGGTCCATGCAAGTTGTTCAGTGCTGTTATAGAATATCAGCAGACACCAACCCCACACAGTAATCAATGCTTCCACTTGACAAGGTCACGTCCTCTGCATGGCAACTCAAGACTCTACAGAGTTTGGTCACCATGGTTTCTCAAAGCTTTGGCCCCATACACTATCGCCTCTTCTCTGAACACACCATGTTATTCCTTGCCTCTATGCTTTTACCAGACTGTTTCTTTTTTCCAGCAGGCCCTGCTCTCTTTCCCATCTGGCAAACAGATTTAGATTACTGTGGATTCAAGTCCGGTTTCAGTCTGTTTCTAAGGGCAAGTGTTCATAAGATCTCTCTGAGCGTCAGTTTTCTTTTCTATTCCTATTAGAATGTAAGCTCCATGAAGGCAGAGATTTTTGTCTGTAATTGACCAATGCCATGTCCTCAAGCTTAGAAAAGAACAGGATGGTACACGGAAGGTACTCAATTAATATTTGTTGATTTAATGGGTTTGTTGATAATATCTTCCATATTGAGTTATTAAAGAGATTAGAAAAACATAAATATGGTACCAGGCATACAGTATTTCACAAATGGTAGCTATTAGAATTACTCATGATTTGAGGCCCAGCTCATATGTTTTTCCAGACCACTCCCAAGGAGCTGGTTGCTTCTTCCTTCTTTTGTTGTAAGGCTTTGCACATCTCTCTAATGAGAACTACCATGGCACTCTACTTAGTTGTTTGCCCTTGTAGGGTTCCCACTAGAATGACTTATGCAGGGAATGTAATTCTTCTCATTTATCCCAACTGAAGTCAGCAAGTGGTCAGGAAATGTTTTTTAAATAAACACGTGGTCTCACACTGCCCCCTGAAATCCTAATATCCAGGGACGACCAGAACTGTAGAAGCGGCCAAGTCCTCCATTCCCACCACTACCTCTCTAAATTTCCTATTTTCTTTGAAAACAGTATACTTTTTCCTGATTATAAAAATAATACATGTTCACTGTAGAAAAGCTGGAAATATGCATAACTCAAATCTTAAGGTACACGAGCATTTTATTCTTCTGGCATAACATATCATTTCTTCTTACATAAAAAAAACTTTCATTAATATAATTTTTAATTATCTTCATAATATTTTATGTTTACTGTTACGTTATATGAATGGTTAATTTATTTAACAATCCCTTGTTGGATTGCCAACTTTCAGCTATTATAAAAATAGTACTATGATGAAAGAACATCTTGTGTCCAAAATCATTTTCTATACTGTGATCATTTCCTTAGGATCTATGCTAGTAGGGTCAAAAGTTACGAGCATTTATTTATTTTTGAGAGAGAGAGAGGGAGAGAGAGTGCATAAGCAGGGGAGGGGAGGAGAGGAGGAGAGGGGGGGAGAGGGAGAGGGAGAGAGGGAGAGGGAGAGAGGGAGAGAGAGAGAGAGAGAGAGAGAGAGAGAGAGAGAATCCAAACCAGGCTCCAGACTGAGCTGTCAGCACAGAGCCTGACACGGGGCTCAAATTCACGAACCATGAGATCATGACCTGAGCCCAAGTTAGATGCTTAACTGACTGAGCCACCCAGGTGCCCCAAAAGTTATGAGCATTTTTAATCTAATCCTTAAATATAATGTTTCTTTGTCCTCACTACATTAATCCAGGCCTGCTTTGCTGGTCTGGACTATGGGAATCACCATTAGGCTTACAGTTCATTTCTCTCTATTCTCATCTATCCCATATAGCATCTATACCACGACCAGGGTTTACCTTCTTAAAAGCCCAATCTGATTTTAGGACATCCAGAGGTCCCTGCCAGCCAGGATAAAAGTCATACTTTAGTCTGGTCTCCAAGGCCCTTTACTCTCTGACAGCAAACATCTTTATTTCCAGCTGCTCTAATCCCCACACTTGATGCTCACCCACCACCGAATGTAACATTTCCTGAACATCCCATACTCTCATCAAACTGTGTCTCTTATCTTTTATTCTTTTTGCTTAGAAGGTTCTTTCCCTTCTCACCGTATCTAGTAAGATCTTACTCATGACCTAACTGAAATGCCACCTCATCTATGGAATTGCTTCCAACTATCACAGGAAAAATTAGCCATTTTAACCCCTGCTATAAATGTTTTCATATGTACTCTACTTTTCAGCTTAATATTTATTCCCCCCAGACTATCCATCTGGGGAGGGAGCAGGAATTGTGTCCACTAATTCTTGCATCCCTGAAACATATCACATACTGGGCACTGAGTGACTGTTCAGTGATTAAATGATTAAACAGATTTTTATAGTCCAGCTTACTATAGAGACATGCCTGGCATATGTAAATAGAGGGGATGTTGGATGGATGTGAGCTATTTATAATCACTCAGACACTTGGGACCCTCTCCATTAAGGGACCTTAAATTTTAATTCTGGAACTTCAAAGTAAATATCATACTGACATGTGAGATGGGAAAACATTCCCAACCCTACTTGTATAATACTCTAGAACACCTTTCTAAGTATCTCAGCAGAAGATTTGAAATTTTCAAAAGATCATCAAAATAGTTTATTTTGAAAAAGAACTCCAGCCCTTTTAGGAAAGAAGAAGTACTCTTTTTTTTTTTTTTAAAGTTTATTTATCTTGAGAGAGAGAGAGAGACTGAGAGTATGTGTACACAAGCTGGGTAAATGAGAAGTCAGTTATATATTTAGGTGGTCAGGGGAGACCTGAGGAGAGGCTCTATTTGAGCTGAGCCTCAGTGAAGGGCAGTAGGCAGCCAACCAAGATTTGGGGAAAGATGTTCTAGGTGGAGGGAGCAGTGAGTGCAAAGTTGTCAAGTCAGGAAGGAGCATGGTGCCACAGTGGCTTATGTGTGGTGACTGGGCTGGGTAGGGAAATGGTCTGACATCAAGTTAGGGAGACTGTCAGGGGCCAGATCAATCTGAACACTATAGACGCTAGTGAAAAGTCTGTTTTTCTATGTGTGATGGAAAGCTTGTAAGAGGTTTTTAGACAGGGGAATAAAATAACCTCCTTTATGTGTTAAAGATAATTCTGACTGAAAAGTGGACAATGGACTTTTGGGAGGGAGGCAAGTATGCAGAAGGCTACCAATTATGTTTTTTTTCTTTTACAGTAACTGAAGCAATGGCCTAGACCAAGATGGTGAAAGGCGAATGGGCTCAGGGTATGTTTTGGAGGTAGCATCAAGAGGGCTGGTCAATGGACTGATGAGGGGAGTGAAACTCAATTTATTTTGTGTGAGTAAAAAGTTTATGTGAAAGCAGAGCAGGGGTGAGAGAGACTAAGAACTATTATACCAAATCAAGTTTGGAAATTGTGGCATCTTTTTATCCGGGTCCCTACTTACTATGGAAATAAGAGGTGGCCATATTAAGATTAGGAAAGGTAAAGTTTAACAAAACTGCTTTGTAAAACAATTTTCTTTTAATATCAAGTTTGAGCGTCATCCTAATGGAGGGTCTGTGCCAAAGCAGGCAACTGATAATAAGGGTAAGATTTCTATTTACTGAAAATTTACTAGATGCCAGGCACTATGCTAAATACTTTGCTATAAAGTGTTATTTCTAATCTTCAAACTAGCGCTATATATTACCTCCATAATAGAGATAAGAAAACTGAGGCTCACAGAGACGAAGGGACTAATCAGTATGGTCATATAGCTTGTAAGTGGCATTTTAATCCAGGCAGTCTGAGGTCAGAGTCTAGACTGTTCACCACTATGTTATATTGTCTCTAATATTAACTGAACACCAATTTTAGGGCTAGGTAGATACAGTCATGTGTGTCTTCAGCACTGCCACTATTTCAAATGAGCACTAGGTTACAGAAATACACACCTTGTAGGAATACACAACTTTGCAGGTGAGTGGATAATTTCTTAAGGTGCCAGAAGGGCTGGAACTGCTATCGTCAAAAACATCCATGTTGTCTTCAAACTCTTCTCCTTCTTCTCTTTCGGGGTCTGCATGAAGCTGGGGAAAATTAGAAGCCATTAATTACCTAGCTTGCTTACTTCAAGAAAATGAGTGAAGCAGGAAAAAACACTTAAAACCTGACTGTTTCAAACATTAATTACTTATTCAACTGCACAGAGAAAAACGTATCTATTCTCTCTTGCATTTTTCATGTTAGGAAAGGGCCAAGTTCTTTTTTTTTTAAGATTTTATTTTTAAGTAATCTCTAGAGCCAACACGGGGCTTGAGCTCACAACCCCAAGAAAAAGAGTTATAATGCTCTATCAGGCCCTCTGAAAGGATCAGGTGTTTTTGTTTTGTTTTTAAAAACCAAGAGTAAAATGTCATTCAAGTACATAAATGTTTATCCTTATCAGTATCCTTTCTCTTTTCACTGTTAAATACTAATAAAGACCTTTTACCATTTAAAAAAAATGTTTACTTACTTTTGAGAGAGAGTGAGCAAGCAGGGGAGGATCAGAGAGAGGATCCGAAGGAGGCTCTGCACTGTCAGCACAGAGCCTGATGCGGGGCTTGAACTCACGAACTGGAATATCATACCCTGAGCCAAAGTTGGATGTTTAACTGACTAAGCCACCCTGGCGCCCAAAGGCCTTTTACCATTTTAAACTGATCATACTGGGAAACGTTAGAAAGATTTCTAAATGCTATCCAAGGATGTGGAGAAACAGGCTTTCCTCTACCATTGGTAGAAATGTAAACTGATATGGGGTGCCTGGGTGGCTCAGTCGGTTAAGCATCTAACTTCAGCTCAGGTCATGATCTTGTGGTTCGTTGAGTTTAAGCCCTGCATTGGGCTCTGTACTGACAGCTCAGAGCATGGAGCCTGATCTGGATTCTGTGTCTTCCTCTCTCTGACCCTGCTCTGCTCACAGTCTCCCTCAAAAATAAAAATAATAAAAACACTGAAAAGAGTTTTAGAAAAAAAAAGTAAGCTTATAATCCTTAAAAATATAACAAAAATAAACCCTACTGAAATTAAAAACAAAACATTCTACTTGATCTAGCAATTTCACTTGTGTGAATATACTATGGAGAAATAAAGGATCAGGATGTAACACTATAGATCTTACTCGACTTACAATGGCAATATGTCCGAAAAACCTCATCATATGTTGAAAAATATCCTGAGTTGAAAATGCATTCAATTACCCTACTGAATATTATAGCTTAGCTTAGCTTAGCCTAGCCCACTTGGGGCTTACATTAGCCCTTACACTTACACTAGCCTCCAGTTGGGCAAAACCACCTAACACAGAGACTATTTTATAATAATAAAGTGCTGAATATCTCATGTAATTTATAGATGGTCCCCAACTTACGATGGTTTGACTTACAATTTTTCCTTTTGTGATAATGCAAAAGTAATACACTTTCAGTAGAAAACATACTTTAAAATTTAAATTTTGATCTTTTTCCGGGCTAGCGACATGGTACAATATTCTCTCGTGGTGCAGCAGCAGCAGCAAGCTACGGCTCCCAGTCAGCCACAATGTCACAAGGGTAAACAAGGTATACTCACAACCAGTCTGTACCCATAGGATCATTCTGGGGTTCACTCTCAGTACAGTATTCAATAATTGGGTATAACAAATGTATTTACCTAGAGTACTGTCCATGATACTGAAGTACAAATAGTATTTATATGAACACAAATATCTGACAGGGGGAAGAAGAATAACACAACAAAGACTGGAAATAGAGATGGCTGTTTTTAATATCTCTCTCTCTTTACAGTCTGAACTATTAGAATAAGCATGTCTTACTCTTTTTTTCAAGTAGGCTTCATGCCTGGTGTGGAGGCCAGTGTAGGGCTTGAACCTATGACCCTGATATCAAGACCTGAGCTGAGATCAAGAGTGGATGTTCGGGGCGCCTGGGTGGCGCAGTCGGTTAAGCGTCCGACTTCAGCCAGGTCACGATCTCGCGGTCCGTGGGTTCGTGCCCCGCGTCGGGCTCTGGGCTGATGGCTCGGAGCCTGGAGCCTGTTTCCTCTTCTGTGTCTCCCTCTCTCTCTGCCCCTCCCCCGTTCATGCTCTGTCTCTCTCTGTCCCAAAAATAAATAAAAAACGTTGAAAAAAAAAATTTAAAAAAAAAGAGTGGATGTTCAACCAACTGAGCCACCCAGATGCCCCAAATATGTCTTACTTTTTAAAGTAAAAATCTAAAAAAGAGGAAACAAAACAGGCAAAGTTTCTTTGTTTCTAGCTACATATAAACATCTATTTAGCTACTTTTTCATATGTTCAAACATCCGAAGGCACAAATGTTTACACATTAAAGATATAAGAAATGGATGGTCAGAATCAGGTCTCACAATAGACCGATTAACTGAAATATCAAATATCTACAACATGCTGAACACTGTGCTAGGCTCTTAGATATGAAATGGAGGACATGGTTTGCTTTGCAAAAGCTCATACTCTAGAGTGGAGAAGCCATCACAACTAAATGCTGAGTGTGCAGGGGGTCCTATAAATAGGAAGGTCAGAGAAGACTTCCTGGCATTCAGTGAGTTGCAAAGTAGAGGCCTCCTATACAGTCCACTTTTACTTTTTAGTGAATTAAAGTGATTTCTATTGAGCACTAATGTTTAAAACTGACTCTATTCTTAACTGCTATTTCCCTAATAAAATTCTATAGAAATGTGTGTGTGTGTGTGTGGGGGGGGACTGTTCTAAAAGAATAAGTAGCACATATTTCCTGTCAAATGTATTGCCTACACTTCATGAGCCCTTGTAATATTCTCATTATTTTATAACTATTATTGGAAATTCTTCCCAGCTGAGTCAGATAATCATGTGACTCATCTTACAAATAATTTCATCTATGGTCAGTCAGGTCAATGACAAAATAGGCTCAAATCATGACCTTTCAAATCATCTCAGGCTATGATTCCGTTGTTCTCCAAAAAGGCACTGTGTCACATAAAAGGTGAGGATCACATGCTAAAAACTGCCATAAAATGTAAACATATCTACACAGAAGATACTGCTTTCATACTCTAGTAAAGGTTATAGATGTTAAAAAAACCCCACAACTGTGGGCATTGAAACAAAACAACACAAAACACCCATATATCTATAAAAACTAAAATTAAAGCCAGTGTGGGTAGAACACATTTCCAAAAATATAGAAGGAATGTTAATATGCACTGTGCTTTGGCACTGGGAATCAATCCAAAACATTTTATCTTGGCAACACTGTTTGGTACTAAACATTCCTTTCTTTCCCCTTTATTTTGAGTCCATTGTTTGAGTCTCATAGAAGGGAATGAAAGGTTGCAGTGACAGCAAAAGGGGTCAGGGCCATGTGCTTTTGCATGGCTCCAGAAGCTTTCCAAAGTATGTCACTGTGGAACAACTTCTGCCTTTTCCCTCTTCCACCCTCTGTAACCTCGCTGTTACAATATTTTCTTGACCCAGCATTTCTAAAATCACATTCTTCCTCTGTTTCTTAACAACTGCTCTCTTAGCCCTTTTCCTTCCTGTCACCTGACAGAACTTCAATTAAAACTATTCTTCCCAGCTGTGCTAATGTTTTTCCTTTCTTAGATGTTGTAAAATGCTTACTCTCTTTGCAAGGGCAGATAAGAAGCAGATTTCTGGGTTGGTATTATTAGCTATCTCCTTGTACTCAGCAAAACAACCTCTGAAGGGTTTCATCAACTTTATGGGACTGTAATGAACTAGAAAGCAATACTAGGTCCCTGGGTCTGACAGACTTGAGTTTGAATGCTGAGTGTGCCATTTACGGCTGTGTGACCTTGGGCAAATTACTGAACTTCTCAACTTCAATGACCTTATCTTATAATGAAGACAATTACTTCATATCATAAAGATTAAGTTAGGTGACATATTTAAACCCCTAACACACGCTCAATACCTAGAAAGTACTTAAATCATTATTCTATTTTGCTCCTTACAACTCACTAGCAGAACCTCGGAGCTTCATCTGGACAGAGAAGTGACCATATTGAACATCATTCCAAATACAACACAAGTAGATTACAAAAGATAACATTGAAAATATCAGCAAAGTGGATTTCTGTTTCCAGATAAGATGGGAGCGTCAGGGACCAGATTTAAACTCCTTCCAGAAACAACTAAAAAACTGTTCAAAATATATGAACCCTGGACATGATGCACTTAAGGACAGTGATCCCTGTGGAATGGGAAACAATTTCGTCAACTTAGGAAAGAGCTATTTAAATCCAAACAAATCAGAGTAAAGGAAATAAAAACCAGAGTAGAAATCAATACAAAAGACAACAGAAAAACAACAGGGGGGGAAAATCAGTGAAGTCAAAAGCTGATTCATTCTTTTTTTTAAACTTATTTATTTATTATTTTGAGAGACAGAGAAAGAGAGAGCAAGTGGGAGAGGCAGAGAGGGAGAGAGAATCCCAAGCAGGTTTCACATCGCCAGAACAAGCCCAATGGGGGGCTCGAACTCAGGAACTGTGAGATCAGGACCAGAGCTGGAGACTGACAGTTAACTGACAAAGGTACCCTGCTGAGTGCCTGTGCCCAGTCCCCGTTTGAGAATTCTCAGCAAAGATGGTGCTTCCAAGAGCCACCCAGGCGCCCCCGAATCTAGTTCTTTATCACATGAATAAACCTCTAGCAGAATGATCAGGAATAAAGTGTAGACACAAATAACCAATATCAAGAATGAGAGAAGTGATGCCCCTACAGATTCTCTAGGTAATGAAAGAAGAATAAAGGAATATTATAAACAACTTGTTCCAATAAAGTTGGCAACTTAGATAGAATGGACAAATTCCCTGAAAGACACAAATGATAAAAATCCACTCAAGAAGAATAACCTGAATGACTCTATATCTACTAAAGACACCGGATTTGTTGTTACAAGAAAACTTCCATAAAGAAAACTTCAGGCTCAGATAACACATTCTGATGAAGTATATCAAACATTTAAGAAAGAAAAATTCTACACAATTCTACATAAGCTTCCAGAAAATTGAAGAGGAAGGGATACTTTTCAAATTATTCTGAGACAACCATTATACCAAAACCAGACAAAAACATTACAAGAGAAGAAAACTATAGACTAATCTCTGCCATGAACAGAGACAAAAATGCTCATCAAAATTTTAACAAAGCCAATTTAACAATTTCAATCAACATATAAAAAGGGTAATGTATCATGATACAAGTAGAGTTTATCAGTAATACAAAGTTTGTTTAATATTTGAAAAATCATCAATGCAATTTACCATATAAACAAACCAGAAAAGAAAAATCATTTCACAAGATTCAGCATCCATTCCTATTAGTAAATTAAATAGAGGAAACTCCTCAATATGGTAAAGGGCATCTACAAAAACCTGTCTGTTAACATCATACTTAATGGTAAAAGACTGAATGCTTTCTCCCTAAGTGTAGAAACAAGGCAAGAACATCCATTGGCCCTAAACTACTGGAGATGCTAACAGTTACAGTAGTAATAATATGCAGGTGACATGATTATCTACACAGAAAACCTACACAAAAGCTACTACAACTAATAAATGAGTTTAGCAAAGTTACAGGATATAAGATCAATACGCAAAGATCAATTATATTTCTGTATGTTAGCAATGAGCAATTGGAAGTTGAAATTTAAAAAACACTTAAAACAGCACCAAAAACTTTAAAATAAAGATAAATCTGAAAAAGGATGCAAGACCTATACACTGAAAGCTATAAAACACTGCTGACGGAAATTAAAGTTAAATAAATGGGGAGGTATTATGTTAATGGGTTGGAAGACTCAATATTGTTAAAACATCAACTATCTTCAAACTGACTTACAAACAGATTCATCACAATCCTATTTTTAAAAATCCTAGTAGGGTTTTTTGTTTGTTTGTTTTTTTTTTGTAGAAAATGGGAGTTTAAATTTATATGGCAATGCAAAGGACCCAGAATACTCAAAACAACCTTGAGAAAGAAGAAAGCTGGACATTAAATATCTTGGATTTAAAATTTAAAAAAAGAGAGAGAGAGGGAGAAGAAAGTTGGAGAATTTACACTACCTAACTTCAAGGCTAATTATGAAGTTACATTAATCAAAACAATGTAGCATTGGCATCAGGACAGATAAACAGATCAACAGAACGAAACAAAAAGTCCAAAAATAAACCCACACATATATGGTTAATTGATTTTTGACAAAGATGTGAAGGTAATTCAGTGGAGAAAGGGCAGTCTTGTCAACAACAACAAAAAGGATATACATATACATATATACAAAGATTAACTCAAACTGGGTCACAGATTTAACTGTATAACCCAAAACTATAAAATTTCTAGAAGAAAATATAGGAGAAAATCTATATGACCTTGGGTTTGGCAAAGATTTATTTGTCAAAGAAATCATAGCTTGTGAAAGCTACCATACCATACCACACCACAGCATGGTCCATAAAAGAAAAAAAAAAATTAAGTGGGGACTTCATCAAACTTAAAAATGTCTGGTCTTTAAAAGATACTGTTAAAATGAAAAGACAAGCCATAGACTTGATTTGGGAGAAAATTAATCATCTATCTGATAAAGGGTTTCTATACAGAATACAAAAAGAATTCTCAAAACTCAATAAAAAGAAAACAAGCAATAAAATATAGGCAAAAGATCTGAACAGACACTTCACCAAAGAATATATGCAGATGGCAAATAAGCATATGAAAAGATGCTCAACATTATCAGTGAGATACAAATCAAAAATATAGCGATACACTACTGCACACCCATTAGAATATCTAAAATTAAAGACCAACCATACCAAGTGTTGGTGAGGCTGTGAAACAGCT